TCTCAAACCAATAAATAAAACAACTTTTGCAACGTTTTGTCAGGGCTGCAACTGGCCCAGGAAGCACTCACTCACACACCCGTTACCTCAACAACCGAGGCAAACACCCAACCAGCCGAGCTGGAGGCTACATCAAAATTGTAGGTTTTGCATCCCCAGGCACTCATTTTCGGGCTATATTTACACAGAGGCACAGTGCGTGGCTGCCCATATGCCTTGTAATGGGTCTTGGCAGGCGTGTGGAAGCAAGATCCAGATGTTAAAAATACTTAAGGTTCAAACTGGAGACTTATTCCCGAGACATTTCCTCTGTGTGCAGTGTGCATCTGTACACTACGTATATGTGTGTGTGTGTGTGTGTGTGTGTGTGTGTGTGTGTGTGTGTGTGTGTGTGTGTGTGTGTGTGTGTGTGTGTGTGTGTGTGTGTGTTATATTGACCTGTCTATGACACTGTCTCTGGCCTGGAATTAGCTATAAAAAGATACAGTCTGTCTACAACAGAGAGAAAGAGAGAAAGACTGAAAGAAAGAGGCTGTAAAAAGAAACAGCAGGAGAAAGAGCATTAGCTTGTGAAAAACAAAAGTCTAATGCAATAAGTCTGATCGGTTCCTGTCTTGTTATTGTTTAAAATCACTTATTCACACTTGAATGCATCATCTCCATCACCAAGCTTTGTAGTTGGAAAATATATCCCTTGGTAAATAAATTAGTCCCCCCTTTTTTTTCTGAATATTTAATGGGAAAATGATTTGTTTCTTTAAAATGTGAGTGAAAGTTTTAGATTTAAGATTTTGTAATTATTCCAAGAAAGGACTGAAAGAGATCTGTGAAGAAATCATGACAGCAAAGAGCTTTCCTGTCGCCAGCGTGAGGGGCAACCACGGATGAGATAGGCAGACAGCAAATAAGGTAGGATGATCTTCTTACGTAAGACAGATCAAACAGTGGAATCACATGCGGTGTAGTACATTCAGATAAAGATTTGGCTTGAATACAAAGACATTTTCTGCCACTGAACCACATGCGGGCAATAAAAGGGCGCGTGCTTGGTTTGCAGATATAAAATCCATAAAGGTTTAGGCTGCACCACAGCGCTGCAACGCTTATCTCTAGAGTTAAAGGACACAAATAATATTACATGTAATCTCAAGTTCAAGATTATAACCAGAAAAAAAAAATCCTTCAGTTAAAACTAAAAACAAAACACTACATACCAATACAGTTACCATATAAACTTTGACCGGCTTCTGCTTTAACCTTTTAACTATGAGAAAAATGTCAGGCCCTTCAGCTATGTGCGTCTCTGAGCTGTTTTAGGAAGGGGCAGGTTCAGAGGTGGTAGAGTGAGAAGGAAGGAAGGGCTGAAACATGCAAAAACTTGACAAGAGCAGCAACAAGCTCACTTTTCTGGACCAACAAAATGTCATCATATACTGTCAGGTGACACTACTCCAGCCCTGACCACCAATAGGGACACAGATTCAAAATATGTTCTTAGCATCGACAGCAGACTGAGGCTACATGTGGCGCCTATGCTGCTAAATCATTGTTATTGCTCCATGTAAGTCTCCATGCTATTGTGACAATCTTACCCTAGGAAGCTTTGCACCGATTTGTTGGCCACATTAAGATAAAGAAAGTTCCGATTTGGAAGCAACCAGTCGTCATGTTGCGGAACTGCTTTAAAAATAAAACGCAGAGACAGGCAGAGAGACAACACATGTAATTTGCCTATTGAAACTGATAACAACTTGTTATGTTACCATTAGTGTAATAGCGAGTGAAACATGGGCAGATACTGATCCTGAATGTCTGAAACTTAGGCTACAATATCTGCTTTTTATTTGGTTTGTATTTTTGTCCCACCTGCCTCACCAAAATCTTTGTGTCCAAGCATGTATGCATGTATAACCTATCCCGCTCCAAGTGTATCTAAAGTATTGGCAATAATTTTAATGTTAATGTACAGTGTGAGTGAAACTACCAATGGCAGCAAGTGTGAGAGTTAATGCGACTACCACTGGGTGTCTTTTTCCATTCTCAGGTAAAGGTTAGGCTACAGTTACAAACACTCTCCCTAAAGTCTAACTGACACCTCTGACCGAGTATGCACAGATGCATGTACCCCGGCACACAACTAATGAACCAATCAATAAATAATGAGAAACTGGAAACTTAATACCCCTAAAATACTGCCAGGTTTAAATTTCATTCTTACCTCAGACAGAAAGATGTCCAATATTAAAATTCTAAACTAAAGAGCTAAAAGAAACTATTATTTAGTTTCTTGGTCTCACTGATGAGCTATCCAGGTCTAGACAAACACAAACACGCCCTCTCCCTGGCACCAAATCCTACACTCACATTGGTACCAGCCTGTGACATCACCGCGCTGATGTATCGTTGCTGACTTATCACACAGGGACAAAGTGCCCTTTGACCAGCCACAAGTCCTGCTGACCACAAACACACACATCCAACTTAGTCTCTAAGGGAACCAGGAAGTGTGAGGGTTGTGGAGATTGAGAATAGGGTGCCATAAGAAAGAGAATGAAACAGTACTCGCTTTGCTTGTGCGTGTAAACACCATCTCTCTAACTGAGCTCGAGAACAAAGAACCATTCTAACAAGCTCAAAGAGACGTGGCCAACACATATGGTTAAGTAGGTGTGTGTCCAGTATAAAAATAAAATAATCACTGCTTATATTTTTGTTTCCCCACTCTCACCTATTTTGTGTTGAGGCCGGTACACCCAGTTATCGTCGTCCTCACGCTCGTCTCCGTCTGAGGTGTGAAGGTGACTGTGAGACTGAGAGTACGGGTGGCGGCTGTGAACCACGTTGAGCTCGTTTTGGCTCTGGAAGACGCGTCTGCTCTGGCGGGAGAGGTTGGACACGTTGAGCCAGCTGAGAGCCCGGGAAAGGCCCGCCGGTTTCTCCTTTCGGAATGATGCGGATCTCCTGTCTCCTCTCATTGTCCCTCAGAGAGGTCTTCTTTAAAACTGAGCAAAAAAATCAAATAAATCCCCAGCCGTAAATCTTTAGGTCGGTGGGTTGTCCAGATATTCACACTTACTAAACTGTTTCAGACTCTTCAGATTCAACAATAAGCACTGAATTAGTTCCAGCAGGACATTCAGCCATATCCCGCTTTGCTTTCCATTTGCTTAGCGCACTTCCACATCATGACTCTGACCCACACAGCCTCCTCCTTCACTTCATTTCTCTGCCGCAAAAACTTAAATCATCTTCTCCTTTCTTGTCCTCCTTTGTGCCTTAAAACTCCAGGCGTGATTCCCAAACCCAAAGGGGTAATTAAGCAATCCAGCAATCAGGAAAATCACCGCCCTTCTGCGGCGCACACTTCTCTGTGCACAGTCCCCTTTTTCTGTTATGTTCCTCAGTGGTGCATGACAGGGTGGAGAGAGGTTTCCAAATTACCCTACGATTCTTTTCAGTCTCAGCAAATCAGCGGTTGTTGTTTACGGCCATGTGTGCCCCTGAGTGTTGTTATCTCCAGTTGTTAGCACGCGCCAGCTGAGTCGCACCATCTTAGAGCCAGGGCCTGACCAAGGGGTTAAGAGGTTCCCGGGTTTGTTGCTGTCCTGATGAAGTTACTTGCATGCTCACGCGCTGGCATAGGCACACTCACATGTGATACTCCCTTTGCTGGGTGTGCAGCAGAAATGAGGATGCCTGTCGAGTTTTTCCAGAGAATTTACAACCAACTTCTTGCGAATCCTCATTCGTTTTCCTCTCAGTCCTGTTTTGATCCCTTTTCCGCAAATATTACCGTCACTAGTGGTTGAGGAAAAGGCGTGCTAAGCAAAGGCTGTGATAAAAGGTCCCAGTGTTGACCAAGCTCTGGCTCTCCAATCAGCTGATCTACACCAGTGATAAAGCAAGAATTGGGAAGGCAAGCCCACACCTGCTTATCTCACCCAGGTGAGTTAAAAAGAAAGGGTATGCTGGTGAGGATTGCCCAGACTCCGCTCTTCGGGACTCCTGAAGTCCTGCAAGTGCGTGACTACTAGAGTTGACACAACTAGAGTTGTGCTGTGAGTATAGGGTTAAGGTTACACCCAACCCTTCACACATGAAGCTGAAATACGAGTCAGCCCGTCCCTTCTTCCTTATTCCCTGCCTCTCTTCTTTCTGTTTTCTGCGCTCCCTGATCGCTGCTCCGCCCCGCCATTCATTTACTGGCATGGCAAACACTCATCACACCCCCCTTATGTCCTTTCCTACCTCCTAAACACCTTTTTTCCACCCCACATACGCTTCTATTTACATTCCCTGTTATCAATATCCCACAGGTTCTTTCATTTTGAACACAAAACAGCTTTAACCCCAGCCTCAGCAGTACTAACCCTTAACTACTGTTGGGAAACATGCAGTGTGTGAGGAACACAAAGGCCCTCAGGGATAAAAACATGTATGTAGGGGGGGGTGGAGCCTTCCCACCTGAGTGTAAAAGCATAGGGAGCACAATACCACTAAGGTGTGACAAAAAACTGAATGAGTGAGTACACAAACACACGTAGGCCTGGCTGAGAAACCTCATCAACCATTCTCACCTTCTTGTTTACCCCAGAAAAGGTGGTAAATTAGAGGATCGTCAGATCGTCAAGGCAAAGATCTGGCACCGTAAGGTTTTTTTTATGGATCCATTACGCTACTGAAAGACGATTCCAGATCTGTGACTGCGATGTGGTGCAAGCTTAGACTTAAACCCTTATTGCTCTCTCAGGTCCCCGACCTCATTTGAGGTTCCCCTTAGAGAGAAAATCTACTACGTCGGCACTTGTTTGTGCACAAAGCCAGGTGCTCATTTCCAAGCCTAGCTTGGAATATACAAATATAGGCAATCAAGTACACACTACAGATATATTTTTGAAGACCTTCGGTCACAGTGGTGAGACATAAAGCCATAAGCCCTTTAATATTTAACCAGCATTACTCTACTGTGCAGCAGCGATCAGTAAGACGTCAATAAAGTGGGACAACAAAGTAGGTTTTATTACAGCAGAGGGAATGATGTAGGGGGATAAGGACATAACTAATAGTTAACCTGGTGCTTTGTGACCTTGACCTGTAAAACAGCAGCAAATTATAATCACTCAATCCTTGAGTTGAAGTAAAAGTTTCAGCGGACGTGTAAAAAAAGATTTTTTCTTTCCTTCCCTAAGAAATCACAAGAAAAGAAACCAACGTGTGGTCACAGCAAGTGAACATTTCACCACCAAAATCTAAACTTTGGTGGCAAATTTGAAGGAATTTCTTTAAGGTTGTCAAGAGACATTACAGTCACAAGAACACGATTAACGGACAACTCAAACACAGAGCATCTGGCTGCATTCAGGATTCATTTATTTTCTTTTTTGAGGAAGTGAAGCTTAATAACATGACCCATAAATGGAGTCAAAATTTCATCACAGGTCACCGTTGTGATTCAAACCCCCCCCCCCCTCATTTATATTTAATGAAGTGCACATGAAGGAGATAAAGCACTGACGATAATCAGTATATTAAACTGCAGATTATAGACAAGTGGACATTCAGCATCTTCAGCTTGGTGGCGTGTCACCAAAAGAAGAGCGTAAACATCTCTGACTGCGTAGAAGCAGAAGCACAGCTTTCACGTGTCTAATCCATTAAAACCTTGATAATGTACACAATTAAATTTGAATAGAGCAACATAGAGAAGATGTTTTTTCCAGCTATGATCAAGGTTATTATAGTTAACTAAAACTGGATGTGAAAACATATTTTGCTTAACTATAAATCAAATACAGACCATTTTCTTCCCTGTTGTTGGCATTAAATACAAAACACATTTTAAGCAGGCTTTAATCTTTCATCAGAGACATTAAAGGCTCCAAAAAGAGTGTCACGTTACCTCAGAATGTAAACACGATTATACCATCAGAGCCGTGTGTCAGTGATTAGCTTTGAAAACGATGCAGACGCTAAACACACTGGTGTTTAAACAGGAAACCATGGGTCACTAATGTCATGTTGGGACACTCCTATCAGACGTGACAAGAGAGGACAAGAGGAAAAGCAAACAAAAATCCAGACAGTGAAGAAGTACAGGGCAATTAAAGCTAAATTACTCTAAATCTTATCAGAGTATTGACTGGATTCACACATTCCTGCATCAAAAAGACAAGCGGTACAGTTAGAGCTGACCAGGTGGGAAAAGGAACAAAAAGAAAGAGACTGAATGGATATAACTATGTACTCTGATAAGATTTTAAATGTATAGATTTTGAATATAAACACACGCTGCCACTGCTTGTGTCCCACAGACATAAAGCTGGGACATGAGGGCCAACCTGTTTGTCAGGTAACCCAATCACACATTAGTGGCTGGGTATACCTGACATTGATACACACTCACCAAACAAAAGGTAAATACAGCAGATAAAGAAGCCGAGCTGGAAAAAAGTAGCATTTAGTGCATCCAGCAGTGCACAACTATCTTATAAAAGCCTCACTCAGTGTTTCTGCCAAGTTTCAAATCCCAGTATGTGCAGTTTCACAGTGTGTGCTTCTCAGCAGTAACACATTCACACAGGCAGTTAAACACAGGGGTTCAGCTCCACCACAGAGGAAGGCTTTTATTACACCAGAGCACCCCACATTTACTGGGACAGTTGGTGCCTTTGCGCATGTGTGTGTTTGTTTGTAAAAGACCACTTTTGGGCAACAAATTCTAAACTGTACAGTTTGACACCAGCTGATTAAAGTCGTATTTCTGGAAGGCATTTGTTTCCCCAATTTGGTTCGACTGCAGTCACATTCAGTGTTTAGGAAATCTGCTTTACATTATGGTACATCCACAGGACGGTAATGTAAGTAAAGGAAAGCATGCTTGACTTCTATGTGCATGCGTGTGTTATATACTGCATGTTCTATATAAAGTTCCTCCTGGAGGTGTTGGAATCTTGCACACACAAGTGTCAGATTTACACCTGATGAAACTCAATTACAGCAAGAATATATTTACACCTGCAACTTACAGGAAGATCCGCCCACTTTTCAAAAATTTCTACCTAAAGAGACGTCATTACTTATCTGTTGATTGTCTTCTTTGTAAACAGGTGTTATTGCATCATTTTGGATTTACACAATAATACTGTTAAGAGTTACGGGAGGTTGAAAGGCTGGTGTGTGAGAAAGACATTAATCATAAGCGTTGGCCACCCCGATACGACACCTACGCAACACCTACACAGATAAGTCATACACAATGTTCGTGCTTTGCTCCTTCTGGCAAAAACTGCATATTAAGAAATCACAACTGATAAAGGCAACCACAAACAAACCGCAGGCACACAGGGAACACGGGACAGGGAGTAAAGTGATTAACTCATGTGATAATAGACTACTAGGGAAGGAAAATGTGAGTCACACAGTATAAAGTGTCCTCTCAGGTTAGCTGCTGAGCAACTTCAGACCTCCAGGGGGAGAGGTAGGCCAGGCCTGGACGCCCAGCAGCAGCCCACCACTAGAGGGCTGTTGCTGGGCTTCCAGACCTGGCCCAGGCCTAGCAACAGCCCTCTAGTGGTGGGCTGCTGGACCTCTGGAGCATTGAAGTCCACTACCATGCTTTTTTTGTTGTTGTTTCATATAATCTGCATCACAATATTCATCTGTTTCCATGAAATATGGTGCAGTTTTTTGTTTTCTTTTTTAAGATTAAGTAGTTGATTCCTTCAGAGTGAACTGGCTTAAATCATTTGGAAAATAATTTTTTTGATGAAAAACGACAAACATCGTGTGTGCTTTCGGCGGGAATCCAGTTACTTTGAGCTAAATAACAGTAGGTTTCGCTCTGGAGAGGATGGAGGAAAAGGGATTTTTTGAGACATCATTTTTGGATCTTCTAGCAGATAAAAATAATCATCTATTATCTGAGAAAAGAGGAGATTAATCAGTCGTAAAGATGATCAGCTGTTGCACTCTCAATAGTATGTCTGTCTTTTTGAAAACATTTTATTTGACACCCTATTTGTCACACTTCACACTGCATCTGGACACTTTTACACAGGCATAACTTACTGCAGAACTTGTTTAAATCTATTAGAAACTGTGAAACTTATGGTTTCCCACAAATTGGGGGGGGGGGAAGCCTGCCGCCTCACACAATTAATCACGTGAAACAAAGCTTGCTTTCTTTTCTGCAGCCTATATTGTGTGCAATTACCACTTCAGGCCACAGGAGGAGGCCATCAGACTGAAATTACTTTCATCCCTAAGACAAACGTTTAGCTGCAGGTCAGAGGAGCCTTGGCACTGCATCCAAAGGTTAAATCATCCAGATAATGTTGTATGTTTATTTGTCAGTTCATTTTTGTACGTGCCTAACAATTTACAATCAGATGACAGTCAGTAAACAACACTATCACAAGGCCTGGAGGGAATAAAGCATGTTTGTGTATTTATGGTTGCGCGTGCCTTTAAAGATAGCGATCTTTAATCAAGGATAACACAGCTATTTCAACAGTTTTTTCAAACATTATACAGTTTTTGGTCTCTATGGAATAAGTCTTTGATGACACACACACACAAAAAAGCCCTACATACACACACTCAAGTTTTTGTTGAGTTTTTCCAAGATTAAACTCTCTCAAACCTTTGGAGTCAACTTTTGTCACTTCCCCCTGGAAGAAGACAAATCCCACATCCCGCTGCCCATGTGCTCCATCATTCCACAGTCCAATTTTCCAGCTGAAAGTACTTGTATACTGTCATTGTTGTGTGTGTCTGTGTGTTATACTGTGCTCCTGAATTCTCTTACTTCTTGGTAAAAAGTTGCAGGCTTAACTAGGAGCACCATTCTTCTGCGGCCCTCCCGTGTCGGCCCATCACCGTGTCTAAGACTCATGTGCGAGTGCAGATTATCCATAGAGATAAAGGCAAAAGCGCAAAGCAGGTAATGACCTCTGACCTCTCACCCCTGAACCCGAAGCAGCAGCTGCTGACTCAACACTCTTAAAAGTGTGCTTGTAAGTCTGCCTGTGCGCTCTAGCATATGCACACACGCACCGTGTGAGCAAATACACCATCACTGGGACAAAGAACAAGGAAGCTCAGACTGGGTGTGCATCCGAGCCACATCTGTGAAGCAGATAAATTCAGCATGAGAGGCTGCGTCGAGTTCAACGATATGTCTACAGGCTCCCTGTGCTCATGCCGCAGATTTACGAGGTGAAAGGCTTTGTTTCTGTTCATCTTTCTGACCGAACAGTCTGAAGCGAACAAAGAAAGGCAAAAGAGCAAACAGGAAAGGAGAGGGGGCCGACGAGGTGATACTTTAGCATGAAAAGAATAAAAAGGAGTGGCACCAGAGCTTACAAGACAAATGAACTCCGGTAATCTGAGTAGGGCATTCACACACTCAAGCACAGACAGACACACACACACACACACCCAGCAGGGCTGCGTCCAGTGGTTGAAGGGGAGAAAGGGTGCGGTCGACTGTGCATTCCTGATCAGTCATGCCTGAGCAGAGAAGTGAGTCCAGCAGACCTGGGGCCAGATGTGGTTTGCATATGCATTGTACTTTTCATGCAGAATATGGAATTTGCAAAATTGTGCACAGATGGTGAATTCCAAAGGAGAAGAACTGGTGTGTTAGTGATATCTGAACAACTCCAGCTGAAATCTGAATACCTTAAAGATATGTCTTTCTCTAGTACACTGTGACATCGAAAATCTGGCACGAGGCACGTTTCTAGTCCAAAAACTGTTCCCTGACGCACTCCTGAACCGCAGGGCAGCATGTTTGTCATTGCTACAGTAATTAAAATCAGCTTGGGTAAAGTTGAAATGTGGTTGAACCAGATTTGAAACGTAACAGGTAGGACTGTGCTCGTTGGAGAGAGCGTGTGTTTGGGCTCATGTTTTTTTCCCCTTAACCTCAAGTGGTGACAGCAATTTCACAACAGCTGTTTAAAAGGGAAGCACCCGTCACGACAGAACAATGTTCAGTTTATTACCACAAGCTGATACATGAATCTTAAATGAAACTTAAATACTGTAAGTATGCCAACATGTATATACGCATATAGGAAAGTAAGAGCGAAACATACAGGGGAGAAAACAATGCCATCATGAACCGTCAAAATAGCAGTTCCCGAAACGACTGCTTAAGGCGACCATATAGTTGCTCAACTGATCGTATTGGGGTTACCAAATGTGCCGTCACCACAACCCCATCGCTATTTAGGGGTCGCTATCTTCTCATGCGCCATGAGGAGAGTGTTGTTGCAATTTTTTGTTGTGCTAAAAATAAAAATGAATTGAAAATTGACTATCCTGTCATCTTTCTCTTTTCCTCCTGCCTGGCAGCTCCAAATCCATCCTACATTTAAAGCCCCTACTCTCATCTCTACTCTGCTACCTTTCCTTCTCCCTCACTGCCTCCTAACATGTCTTCCCCCTTTCCTGTTCCTTTTAAACAACAGTAGCACAGTTTCCACTGGCACCCCATTGATCAACAGCACTGTAGGCAATCATTAACCAAGACCAACCAATCCTGTATGGAAATATTACTCTTTTCTATCCGTATGTTTGATAGAAAAGAATAACAGCAGTGTCAGCAGTGCATCTCCCGCGACTTCAGAAGACCTGCTGCACTTTTAAATATTCTCCAATTGCCTTAGGAGTTTGAAAATGACGACAGCTGGACTTCTTTCAGTTTGTGGAGACTTTTTGCCCCTCGTCCAAGAGGGTTCTTCGGTTCTTAAACCACTGGAAGTCCCAGGTAATGAACCCTTGGTGCAGATGGTCTTGAGGTTCGCTAATCCACTACTTGTCATCACATAAGCCAAGGTGTGAAAAAAATGGTGTGGGTCATTACTACAACCGAGACCACCAGGTAAAACCTCTATGAGACACAGCACCACCCCACTATCAGGTGAGATATTGAGGTCACCTGAGGCAAGGTGTGTGTAGGGGTTGAAATGCCTGGGAAGGAATCTCAAGACTGTAGGTGGCCGGTAGCTGGCGTCGTAAGCAACAAACTCTGTTCAACACTCATCATTCATAACTAAGGTAGACAACCTCCTTTAGTCCTTACAAACCGTCTGTCTCCTTGGTCCAAAATGTGAGCAGATGTTCCCACAGTTCCAGATGTACTGCTGAGTCTTGTCCTGTGGAGGTGGCTTTCCTGTGTTGTGCTATGCACTTGAGGAGTCGCCGTTTGGTTTCTTCTGTGCACTTGCACCTAATACACCATGTTGTTTAGTTTGTTTTGGGGTATTTTCTCTTTGGGATGAACCAGTTTTTGTCTAAGGGTGTTGCTACGTCTGAATCTCCTGTATATTTAATTTTAATTTCAAAGTTGATCTGTCTAGCTGGGCTATTAATTAAGGAAATATGAACCATATGAATGTCACTTTTAAAATAAATGCAGTTTCTTTATTAGACACTTCGTTTTAGTGCCAATCTCAAGTGATTCCTTTTGTCAGTTGTGGTGATCTTGAAAATGAAAAAACTGGGTCACACAATGAGCGATCATCACTTACGAATGCATGTCATCGATTGATGCCAGTTCCTGTTTATATGACTCAGAGGACTAGCTTGCTAATTGATTCTCTTAATAGAACGAACTGATGGATATGTTCTATTTAGACACCTACGCTCGCCGAATACACATGTCTCCTTTGTTAAATTGATAAAAGAGACAGTCTATGTAGCAAGAACAGATTTTTATTCAAAGGAACGCCTGTGTTAACCTGCCGCTCCTTTCATGAGAATGACCCTGCACTCTCCCTCCCTATAAAAAAAGTAGCCATAGGCGTTATAGAGGTGCATACCATGCAAATAAAAACTAAAAGAATCAGAAGATAGGCGGGTTGATTCAACAGAAAGGCGAGGGTAGATTGTTTGGTTGTAGTGTCTTCGAGCACAGTGCAGCAAAGATATATGAGAAAAAATAAAGAAGCTAGAGAAGGCATCCGCAAACTGAGCAGTACACGACTGCAGACTCTGCGAAGCTATTTCTCAGTTGTTTGCGCAAAAGATAGTCACACATACCAAAATACCACACTGAGGGAGACACACGCAGGCTCTCATCGGCTTATACAGGTTGCCCGCAGACCACTTCTGAATGGCTGGTCTGTGTGTGTGGTGTGTTGTGTGTGTTGTGTGTTGTGTGTGTGTGTGGTGGTGTGTTGTGTGTGTGTTGGTTGTGGCGCCGCGCCGCGAGAAGGGAGAAGGTGTGAGTTAAAAACAACACAGCAGATAATTACGCCATGTGTTTACATATATAAAGCCTTTTTAACAAGCACACAAGTGGAACACCGTGAGAGGAAAACTCTAATAAAAGCCAGGATGTGGTGTGAAATAGCAGTAGCAGCAGACTCGCAGCTCAGCCATTCAAGCGCGTGTGTGGCCCTCACCCACAACAAGACGTGTGTAGTGAGAGATGTGTGTGAGTGTGTGTGTGTGTGATGTGTGTGTGTGTGTGTGTGTGAGTGTGTGGAAACGCATATGAGCTGCAGCTCTTCCAGAGACACTCAGCGGTGGCATTAACGCTGATTTAGAGGGGAGGGCGATGTGGAGGGATAAAAGAAGACATAAAAGTAGAAAAGAAAGACAGATGAGGGTTAGATGATAAAGAAAAGAGATGGAAAGATAAACAGACAGAGAGAGAGTATGAGATTTAGACAGAGGATGAAAGACAGAAAGACTGAGAGGCAGAATTATGCTGATTAAGCAGACGGTAGGCCGACCGTTATCATGACAATAGAGGCTGACTCTGGGTCTGGCTTTTTGCCCTCTACAGCTGTGAGCTGTCTGACACACACACACACACACACACACACACACAACACACACACACACACACACACCCACACACACACACACACACACACACATCAGAACACACACACACACACACACACAACGAGGGCAAAAATGTTCGTTATTCTGAGCTCATCCCTCTTATCCAGGCTCGTAGCAATACATCAACCCGACGCAAACCTCCTCTAAACGCTGGACTGGGACCAGCTTTAATTTAGCAACAACACACACGCACACATTTGCACAGATTCTAGTCTGCAACCTCTTTTCGCGCTGGCTTTACTTTCCTTACTCCTGATCCAAGTACAGCTCCCTAAGCAAGCCATCCTGTTAGACATGGATTTAAGAGCAGAATCCAGATCAGCAGTTGCCGGCCAGAACTGCTTGCTGCTCTGCCTTCCAGCCGTTACACGCCGCCGTCTCAAGGCAATTTAGAGACAAGCCATGGAGGAAATGGGGAGGACACACACGCAGTCACACAATAGATCGATTCAAAAATAGAGCGTCCGAGTTGAATACACCCACACAGAGTAATATAAACAAAGAGAGAGTTCATTTTTGCTGTGCTATGATTAACCATCCAACACAGTACGGCTGTCAAAAACAAACACACCAATCAGAAAAAGAGTTTCGCAAAGATATTCCTCCCACGGGCTGTCACAAGTTTCAGAGCGGAGTCCCATCTGGCTACCCTCTACTTCTCCCTCCTTCCTTCCTTCCTTCTCCATCTGTCTTTCTCTGGCTCTCCTCATCCCTTTTGTGTCATCTTCCTCTGTCTCAGGCTCATCTTCCCTCCTCAGCTTGCTTTTCTTTGTTTGTCCATCTCAAATCTCTCTGAAGCATTCCAGAAATCACTCAACATTTTTCCAGCACCCCCACCACCCTATTTCTCTAGACCTCTCTCCACCTTATCATACCTTCACTCTTTTCTTAAACACAGTGGCTCTTTGTGTTTCTCCACCAAGGGGGTTGGGTGGAACACAAACTCTCAGCCCACCTTGGACTCAAAGCCAAAGGCCACTGCTGGTCACGGCCACCCACCCCGTAGCACACCGCTGCAGCAGGGACTTTCCCTCTATGTGTGTGCGTCTGTGTGCAGCTGTGAGCACGTCTTACCGGTGAAAATATGCATCTGCATCCAGACGTCCATAAGTCTGGGTATGTGTTTGCCGGTGTCTTCTCTGTTTATTTGTTTGCATACGCTTGGCTAACACTTCACGCCGACTGTGATAGCGCACATGTACTTGTAAGTGCTGCCACAGGCTCTGAGAAGGTTGTGTTTCCAGAAAATAAGATAAATAAAAGAAGATTAAAAACTGGAATTACAGCCCCGTTCAGGACAGGTACTGTTTGTATTTTTCCACTGCATCTCAGGTTTCACCTGATCGTTCTCTTCCTGCAGGGCTCCAAAATATTTTCAAACCGGCTTATATTCCTGGGAAGAAAAACTCCAGTGCAGCTGGGCTCTGTGATATTTTTTATTTCTGTGTGTGTTTTGCTTTACAGTATCATTCATCTTACAACTTAAAGGATAGTCAACAAATGTAATGATTTTGAAAAAAGGCTAAAACAAAGCTAACCATGTCCAAAACTTAAAAAAAACTGCTGAAAATCACATTATGTTATTTTGACATATTCGGATCTTTCTGGTCAACTTGTGTGTTTGCTTTGTTTTACTCAAAAGACAGAAAATTGTTGCAATTACCCATTAATAAACTATAAATGAATTATATAGCAGGCATGTCCCATCATTTCGCACATGGACCTTTGATGGTCCGATTCTGGCCCTCGGGCCGTATGTTTACTACACAGTTAAGTTGAATAACCCATAAGAAAAAAATCTGTCTTTAAAAAAATGGCAAAAAACAGAAAAAGAAAAAAATCAAAGCTAAGAAATCCCAACTGTAAGTATTTGATATGGGTCAAATTCCTAAAATACTGAATCTTAAGGTAAGAGTTGTGGCGCTCTGAAAGCCAGGGAAAAGTCTTCAGCATTAGTTTCTGGCTACAAGTGACACACTGCTGCAGCCAAAAACAACTTGGAGAGCAGAAGATGAACTGCTGGTTTTCTGTAGGAGGCAGAGCGAAGTGAATGTGTCCACTGGCAACACATACAAACACACAAATTCTTCAAAGCTGACAATAAAATAAAATAAAAAGCAGGAAAAGAACTAGATTGGAATAAAGTAGTGTTTATAGTTTTCTGGAAAGTGTGGGGAGACTCCAAAGGATCTTTTTTAACACGACAGAAGGAGTCAGACAGCTGATGTTTTTACAAACTCCTTACAGCATCCAGTAGCCTCCACAGCCTCAATAAAACAGAGCCGTAAAGTCAGCAGACCATAAGGTGGCCTTTCTTCAGCCGAGTTATCCACTGATGCTATACTCCATTATTGTGGCTGATCTCTCTACCTCCCACTTGTCTAGACAACAGTCACCCTCATTTGCTTTACACTTTTCTGACTAATGAAGTGTAGTGTTGGTCAAGACAAAAAAAAGTCAGCCGCGATCCTGGCCAATCTCAGCTGATGTCAGTGCTAGCCCACATCAGCTGACGGCTCAGCTGATTCCCCTTTATACAGCTGTTTATTTAAGCTACAGAAACCAACCTAAAGTGGCTGGACATTCCCAAGCCGCTTTGAAACACTTGTCCATGCCTACTCATTTTCATGCTCTATATATGGTACTGCAATTGTGTCCTTTTGTGTAGAGGTTACCAAGAGGGTTTTTCAACCACAGACCGGTCGTTTGTGACGCTTTAGTGACACCGCTACAACATGCAGACGAGGGTCTGCATAGCTGTCTGTAGGCTGGGCGTAAAGACCATCGCAGTAGCACCTTTCACCCATTAATCAATGTCACGTCCACTCAACAGCCACTTCATTACTCACACCTTGCTAATAAGCTACCTTAATTCTTTGTGGCACAGATTCAACAAAGTGCTGGAAACATTTCTCAATGAATGTCCTGAGTTATTGTCATGTGACTGACAGATTAGATCACAGATGTCAAACTCATTCTGCATCGCAGCCCACATATAGCCCACCAAGATTTTATGTTGAACAGACCGGTGAAACTCCCCTTTCTGTCAGTGTAAAGAAGTTATAAAAGATATCCTGGTGTAGTAAATTAAAGACATCTGTCAGCATGATTCTTTAGGCTTAAATTCTATGAAGTAAGGCAATGTATCATTTAATTATTTTGGTTTATTGTTAATGGAGATTGAGGAGGTCTTTGGGGAAGCCGTAGCCAAGCTGAATATGTTTGGATGGATTAGATAATTGTATTCTCAATTAATTAATTAAGTGGGTGGTGAGCATATGTCCTTACTGGTGCCTGTTCTGTTCTATGCTAGGGGCATGGTGCTCCTCTCCCTGCCTCCACCTTTCCTCAGACAAACAGACAATCAGGTGCCATAACAGAGCCACACTCCCAAATATACACTCTCAAGTACCGCAGATGGGAATAACAATCATGCGTTGAATGTAGTAATCCTGACCGATCTTTAGCTTTTTCTAAGCACTAAGAGAGGGTTACATTTTATAAGATGAGCTGAGCTGCCTCAAAACATCAGAAATCCAACATATTTAAAGACACTCTAAATGACCGAACTGTAAGGTGGCGTAAAAATCCATCCATCCGTAAGGAGGGAGTCATAATGTGGTCAAGTGAGGGGATAAC